GAGCAGGGGAAGACGGGACTTGAGCTGTGTGGTCATCCTCAAGCATGGGGCACAGACCAGGGAAAGCATCAGGGTCGGGACGGTTTCAGAGATTGAGCACTTCAAAGGCCGTCGGCTTCTGCAACCTGAAGATAGTTTTTTGCGATCCAGGATATTGGACAAATCCAGTCATTTCCCCCAGAGTTTCTTGTCTCGAAATTGGGAAGTTGAGTACTGGACCAAGCGGCAGATCCCAAGCGTTTTTCCTTGCTGTCCTATAGAGATCGCTGGAGGGAAGGGGGCCTGGGGTTGGATGGGCTGGCATAGAGACTGCGGGCGTTCAGAGCCAGAGCCAGGAACCCAGACTTCCTGTGAAAAATGGGAGCGCAGGGTGTGGGACCAGCTTTCCTCACCGCAGGATTGGATCCGTCAAAGGTGCCTAAATGTCTATCTCGCCATCCCCTGCTCCCATGGGACCACAGCGTGCTTGTTTCTTCTGTGTAAACTCAGTCACTCCATTTGAGTGATGTTCTGGTCCTCATAGCCACTTACTTGTGGCTACTGGAGGCTCTGAGTTTCCTTGGTGTCTTGTGAGTTGCCACCTACTTTCCCAAATTAAGCTTCATCCAAACTTCAGAAATTCTTCCCAGGAAACCCTGGGGCAGGCGTCCAGGAGTTTCCTTCCACCCCACCCCAGACATTGGCTCCTTTTTACCCACCCATGCACCATTCCCCATTACATCCTTCTGAATTCTACAGAAACCCAAATCCAGTTTCCAATATGGAGTGCAAAGGGATAGAAAGAGCTATTACAAATGACTTTCTGAAGCCCAAATGTGTTTTGGAAGAAAATCTAACCAGCATTGTCTTAAACCATAATTCCTTTATATTTTCTAGGGTTCAGCTCACTCTCCTAACAATCTGAGTGTCTTAAAGTCAATGACCTTTCAGATTCTAGTTTTTAGGTAGAAAATGGGGTTAACAAATTAAGCTTTATAGCGCTATTAAGTGGTAGAAAAATAGCATGCCCTGCTGTTAAGAAGTATCAGTTCTCCTTTACTTCTTTCTTACTGCCTAACTTCACCCAAATTCATCTTTCTGTAAGGGAACTAAGAAGGAACTCACCACCCAGTCTAGGGACCATTCGTCACAGATCTTTACAGAGAGAAGTACTTGCTTCCTTGATTATCTGGGCCCTTCTGGACAATTTCATTAGCCCCAGATAAAAATTGCTCACCAAATAGCTCATGGGTATCTGTTTTCAAGTTATTTGGAGTCAATAAAAGTTACATATACATATAATAAAAGTTACATATCCTTTCCTATTTATCAATCCAACTAAAAAAGAGGCAACCTTTATCAATTTGTCTGGTCAATTTCTGTTCACCTGGTTTTCCCAGACTCAACCTCTCAAGTTCACAATGCTCATATTCAACTCTGCACCAGAGCATAAAATCTCCCGAAGTCCCCATGTTCCTTAAAGTCAATCAGTTTCTCCAAGAAGTTTACACTCCAATAGATGAAGAAGTAGTTCTGTCTTAGGGTAGGTTGTGCACATGGGGAGTGTAAGTGTCTGGTGCTTCCCTGCCCAGGGAGTCTATTCTGAGCCTTTCCAGTTCAGTTCAAGTTCAAGACTGAATCCAAGATAACCTCAGAGTTATCTAGCATTGTGTCTGGTGAACAGGTCAAGTGAAGGAGAAAAACATGACAAAGTGGCTGTTCTCCTTCCCCATTAATCTCTCTTGGTTTATTTAGGTTGTCTTTTAGTCTTAAAGAAATCCTTCAATTCTGGTTACCACTTGTGGATCCTGGAATCTGGGAAGCACTGTTTTAGAGATGGGCTGGGGCAGGGAAGGAAAGGAAACTCTAGGCGTTAGCTTCCTAGAAGGAACTGGCAGCCTAAACCCCAGCTGCAAGAATCAGTGGACCTGGGTGACTGATATTCTAAACAGCATTGCAAATAAACTTGGCTAGAGGTTAGGGTGACATAACGGGCTATCACACTTCCTACTAAATGACGTCTGCTTTCAGAGATCCTTATGAGCAGAGTTTGCTAGAGGTTATCAGTGAAATAAAATCAGACTTAAGAGTGTTAAGGAGAACAGATAGCAACCTTGTATCAAAGCCCACAGTGTTTGCATTGTGTATTATGCACCTTTAACTTGCAGACCTGACTTCTGGTGAATCGTGTGCAATATTACATTGAATGTGCATAAAATATTTTGTTCATGCACTTAATTTGAAGAACTATGTAAATTTAATGCAAATGAAAGCTTGGCGTTGGGCATATTTGGGGAGTCAATAAAAACTTGGGACAGAACATGTTTTGACTCTTTTGTAGGTATAGATAAGCATAAAAAGTCTAAGTTGATATTGCATATTATTCAGCACAGTAACTCCTTTTGGGAGAAAGTAAAAATCCTAGGCCAAAAGCCAAGGATCTGGCTAGTGTCCTTGAGCTAGTAACCTTGAAGGACTGATCGGGTTATAACCAGAGTCTGGATAATAGTGCAGGTGGGCCAAAGAAACAACGTTGTCTTAATTCTGTGTCTTTCCAGGAGCACAGACGTCTTTGCAAAGCTTTCATGTAAACGTTAGTGCATAGTAAAGGATGTCCGGTTAAGACCCACGGATACAGCCTTTTAAATAAAGGAGCCACCTTTCCTAGAACAACACAACCGAAATAAATGTGGAGTTGCAAACACGAAGTGGTGTCTACACACGCTGAGCTCAGCTTGCCATCTCAAAGCTATCCAGCGATCTCAGACACTACCGCTGCTCCGGGGCGTTCTTCCCAATGGGCCAAAAAGACTCATTCAGAGGGCAGCTCTCCAGGAATGGGGTCAACCAGTTCAATCCAGCAGTCTGACACTGCCCCTCTTCCTCTCCCTGGGCCCTTTGGACGGCTGTGGGCGGCCAAGGATTTCGGGAGTGACCCTGAACACTGCTTGGAGATGACTCTGTAAACAGATGGCGTCTCGGTGCCAGCACCCCATGCTTGGAGATGACTCTGTAAACAGATGGCGTCTCGGTGCCAGCACCCCATGACTGCGTGTAGGAAAAAGTCGAGAGAGTGCCGGGGCCGGGTGGTCGCGATTAACACCCAGAGATTTCTTTCTTTTTCTTTTTTTTTTTCTGGAGAATTGTCTGCAATTTGGTCATTCCGGAATCTGGCTCCTGAAAGTGCCTGGATAGATTTGGGGGTCAGCCGAGCTTCCAAAGCACTGTTCGAGGTTAGACCCCAGCAGTTCCTCTGCGGTTAGATCCACAGTCCCCAGGTTCCCGCCCCCCAGAGATGGGGCCTATCCCAGACCTGAGGGTGTCCTCTTTTTACTGTCACATGGACCGGCCTCTGTCCCAGCATAGCCCTGGCGCTGGGATGCGGCAGGTGAGGCCGTTGAAAAACAGTTCCCCCACGGTAGCCAAGAGCCCTGCAAAGCCGTCTCCCCTCGCCACCTTCCTTCTTTGATTTACCCCTAAGGTCTGGGGGACTCCGCAGGGGATCCGCGTGTGTGGTCCAGCGACCTGGCTCAGCTGTCTTTGGCAGCCGCCAGCAGGAAATGAGCGCGGCCAAAGCCTGGATCTCCCCGCGCGGGAGCGCGTTTCCTCCCGTGCGCGCCCCACTCGTGCGCGCCCCCCGCCGCGCGCGCCCCCGAGTCGAGCGCGCTGTCGCCGCGGGCCCCAAACTCTGAGCTGCAGCCCCGGGGAGCTCGGTGCCTCCTGCCCCGATCCTCGCCTGCGCACGGCCCCTGTCCAGATTCGAATCGTTCGTGCATCTTTCCAAGCGCTTTTCTTGGGTCCGTATTATTATTATTTTTGCTATCTGCAGAGCTCTGCTCGCCTTTCCCGTGTTTTCCTTTTTTCGTGAGTGCAGGACGGTTTTTTTTTTTTTTTTTTTTGGTAAGCATTTCCTCCATTGATACACCTTAGGGTGTAGTTGGCCCATAAAAAAAGCAATCACGGCCTTCGGAGTAGTCAGCTGGCACCCTGGGGGAAGGAGGAAAAGCCCAAGCCTTGACTTTCCTTCTAGTTCCCAACCGAGCTGGAACTGGAGCTCGTGCAGGGCCCCTGGGAATTCCGAGGACAATTCCAGTCCCAAAGCCCGAGAAAGCACTAGGAGGGAGACCAGGCAGGCGGGCACAGCCTAAGGGAGTCCTTAGGCTGGAGGAAAGGAGGTAGGGCCCATTTAGAATCCCAGGCCCTGGAAATTAATTCCCTGCGGCCCCTGTAGGATTACTGGAATGTAGCCTTGTGATAAATGACTCTTCACTTTTTTGGTCTTTTTTTTTTTTTTAAATGAAAAAGAGCTTTATGGAGTGAGGGTGTAGCTCAGTGAAAGGGCGTTTGCTAGCATGTGCCAGGTCCTGGGTTCCACCCCCAGCACTGGGGGTAACAAAATAAATAAGTAAATAAACAGCTTCATGTACTTATATATGTATAAAAGACATGCTCATTGTTTTGAAAAAACTGAAAGTAACATGTAGCTCCTGAACCTTTGATGATAGGCTGACTTTTTCTTGCACGACTTTCCTTTGCCAGGAAAATAAATTCGAGAAGTTCCTATAGTGTCTGAAGTGAGTGAGGCATCCTGCTGCTTGAAAGCTGTGTGCCTCTTAAGGTCATTTGATCAGTGGTTACTCCATGTTACTGACTTATTTCAAATTATTCCAGTTTTAGCTTATTATGGCTGAATAATAAAAACTATCAGAAAATGTTAAGGCTGAAATTGAAAGATTAGGAGTTGTATTTTCTGGCTGTTTTAGGCTAATAGAATGACACCCCCAAACACTGGATACAATGAATAACAGTCATGCATTGGAATATGAAATATCCGCTTACTTTTTCTTTTAAACTGTAAGAAAGTCAAATGTGTGATATACGCATGGGCTTATTATGTGCTTTTAATAAACACAATAGGAAAAACAGTTGAAATACAAAATCCACTGAGGAGACTCAATTACACGTATCACTGTAGTGGTAGAATAATAGCTAGATGATAAATAGAGCGACTTCCTACTTACCAATAGGTGTAAGTCCGTGCTTTAGAGACTCTTGTAAATCTCCAGTGTCCAAATTAGAAGACATTCTTAGTAAAATTATAGGCAGTCCTTTGATTTAAGGCAAAAATCATTGAACACAAGAAAAAGTGCAGCTTGTCATTTTTTGTGACCTTGGAAAGGACACCTCAGACTACCGTAACCCTTATTCCCTTAGTGAAAGTTAAGAAAAAGAAAAAAAAATCCAGAATTCTGAAAGTTACCAGCAAGTCTTTCCCTGGACTCTGTACTTTTTCCAGCATTAGTGACCTGCTGTAAACCATGTATCCAGTTTCATGTTGGTTTCTAATCAGAAGAATGGAAACTTTCGATAGGCTTTGAGGAATCACATGACTCCAAGCAGGTTGATAAGAGGACCCTGTTATAAAGTGACAGCAAAAGAGATAAGAACTCTCTGCAGATAATGACCAAGAAATGATTAACTCAGAAAAGGAGAGGTGCTGTGCAGCACAGAGAGTGGAGAGTTGTAAAACGAAGGGGTCAGGAGCTCATGCTTAGTGAATAAAACTCCAACCCAGCTTAAATCCACTAGCTAAACCCAGACTTGTGACATACCCTCTTGATGTCATCACTTTTGTGCCTAGAGGAGGACAGACCGAGCTCTCCTGACCTCTGCAAATATGAGTTAGATGATAACATTGTCAGATATTAATTCTCTAAGTGATATCTGCGAATATGATTGACACTTTGGGACACTACAGGTAGCATTTCCAATCTTATGGCCATTTATTTCTTCATGATTTGGTCAATTGACTTCTTAGCATGTCTGTTCATTAGATGAGAAATTAACCTTAGCTTGTTTGGACAGTGGTCATTTGGTTAAAAGGGTGAGCTGTGTCTTTGCCCCAACAAAGTAAAACTTATACTTTGAGATTAAAACAATGAATATATAATTCACTTTCCATAATTTAAAAATGATTACTCTTTGCTTGAATCTCAGAAGAAAATCTGGGTGTCTGGGTTACTCTTCACTAGGAAGAGCTATGATTACTCAAAGGCAATGGAGCAAGTTTAGACTCCTTGAAAATCCTGTTGTCCTTCAAAGCAATAAAATCAGGGTTCTTAGAGCAAGGAGTGTCTTCTCCCACATAGTGGAACAGTTTGTTGTTTTTCTTGTTTGTTTGGATTTTGCTAATGGAGCAACCTATTTTCTCTGTATGACTTGAGAGTATTTGGAAGAAAGAAGAATGTTTGTTATCTTTTCAAATCCATTCAAAGTTATATATTTTTTAGGATTAGATTTGATTAGGTATAGTAGAAAAACCAGACTTATGGTCTAAACATAAATTAAATTTTTCTTTTAAAAGAGAAGTTCAAATCACACCCGTAGTCCTCACTACTCAGGAGGCAGAGACCAGGAGGATCACAGTTTGAAGCCAGCCTGGGCAAATAGTTCAAGAGACCCTATCTCCAAAAAAAAAAAAGAAAAAAGAAATCACAAAAAAATGGCTGGTGGAGTGGCTCAAGTGGTGCTAGAGAACCTGCCTAGCAAGTGTGAGGCCCTAAGTTCAAATCCCAATACTGCCCAAAAGAAAAAAAAAGTAGCCAGAGTTTGTCAGTCTTCATACCACACCACATCCCATCTCCCTCCATACCCCTGTGTTGCTCTAGCACTGAGCTGCATCCCTAGTCCTGTCAGTCATACTTAAAATATGCAAATACTGTTTCTGGAGGACTGAGGGTGGGGCTCCAGTGTTAGAGTTCTTGGAGAAGGAAGGGAGGGAGTAAGAGAGGGAGGGAGGGGAGAAAGACTGACTCTTCTGGACTGAGAGTTTGGTTTGAGCATCATAGTGCCCACCTAGCAAGCTGGAAAGCTCTGAGTTCAAATCCCAGTATCAGCAACAGGGCAAAACCAAACCAAACCAAACAAACAAAAAACCTAGCTTAGCTCCCAGCTAAGGCAACTGCAAGGTGTTTTTCTTACTCAGCCATTATACTTTACTTTGGTAGTAAATGACACTTGAAGAACTTTGAAGAGCCCTGGCAATATTACTGGGGAGACTTAATTCTTATGTTTCAGCTTCATTTCAGTTTCATTTTAGTTTATGGAGTGGTGGTGTTCTTAAACAGCATGGAAGGCTTTGCAGCCCACATCGAATGCTAATTAGGCACTAGCTGATGCTGCCACCGAAGGAAACAGCATTTAGAATTCTTTATAAAACAAAATGGTCTATCAATTTGGTCTGCTTCTAAAACAAGCTTTCATATTTATATTTTTGTGAAATTGGGGGAGGAAATCAGATTGGATTAAAATGCATCTACCTTCTTTGTGATTCCTTCCTCCTTGGGTGCGGGAAAGGAGGCTGGGTGAGATGAGATTTCTTCTGTGGATGGGATCTTAACCCAATTTCATCAGAGACCTTGCACTCTGAAGGGGATGGGAGCACAGGGGGAAACTGGGAACTGTGGTTTTAGTTGCAGTTACAGTTTCTTACCTCCTTGCAATAAATGTCAAGGGTTTTTGTTTGGTGGCACTAAGGTTTGAATTTAGCTTGCAAGGCAGGTGCTGTACTGCTTGAACCACTGTGATGGGATTTTTCGAGATAGGGTCTCCTGAACTATTTGCCTGGGGCTGGCTTCAAATTGTGATCCTCCTGATCTCTACCTCCTGATTTCTTCCATGAGCCACTGATGCCTGGCTCAAGGTTATTTTTAAATGCACTGATTCCTCAATAAACAGTTTTGTTCTTTTTTTTTTTCTTTTGGTGGTGCTGGGATTTGAACTCAGGGCTTTGCACTAGGCAGGGTTTTGCACTAGGCTGCTTGAGCCACACCTCTAGCCCTTTATGCTCTGGCTATTTTGAGATAAGTTCTTTTTTTTGCCCCAGGCCAGCCTGGCCCTATCCTCCCATTTTATGCTTCCCACTAAACTGGGATGATAAAGGTGCACCACCATGCCCAGGTTTTTTTCTGTTGAGATGGGATCTTGAAATCTCTTCAGCCCAGGCTGGCCTGGAACTGTAATCCTCCCAATCTCAGCCTCCCAAATAGCTGGGATGACAGGTATTAGCCCCTGGCCCCTGGCTATTTTTTTCTCTTAATGAACACATTGCAATCCAATTAGCTCAGTTGCTTAAATCAAAATGTTAATGAAGCTGAAGTCATGCTTTAATTCCTGTGGAGGAAAAAGTTTAACAAAGGGGAGAAGCTTACAGTATTTGTAAGATCATGGGGACAGCTGTCAGTCTGGACAGGACTCACAGAGCTGTGCATTAATGTGGAAGCCACCAGCATGTGGTACTCATCATGTAGTAAATGAAGAGGGAAGGGATGTTTTCTGAAATTTTGATTGGATGAGGGTACGGGGTACATTGGAATATAAAGTTACGCCCACTGCCTCTTTCAAGGTTAAAATTTAAAACGTGTTTATTCGTTCCGTTTTCTGAAGAGAACCAGTACAGTAACTAAAGCACATATATTCACATTTTCAATATGTTCATGTTGACACCTCTCCTAAACGAAGCAGGTGAGCTGTGTGTGCACAGATAACTCTCAACTCAATGGATGAACACTTACTGTAATAAAATTGTGGCCAGCTACTCAGGAGACAGAGAACAGGAGGATCGTGGTTCCAAGCCAACCCTGCGGCAAAAAGTTCATAAGACCCTATCTTGAAAATATCCATCACCAAAAAGGGCTGGTAGAGTGGCTCAAGGTGTAGGCCCTGAGTTCAAGCCCCAGTACTCAAAAAAAAAAAATTGCACATCCTATAATGGGTTGAGCAGTACTTGTCCAAAGGTTTGCATTACAGAATTTATGATCCCTTTTTGCTTTGTTTTTAGCTCTGATTACTACCATCTTTTCATTTCCCCTCTTGCCCCATTTCATTTCAACTGAGATGTTGAAATACAGCATCTGAATGATAAGGTGCTGTGTGGAGGCAGAGCAGGGAGAGGGGAAGGGAGGACAGAGAAAAAAGGCCTTGGACCCCTCTGCTCTGCGCTACCTCTTGACTGGCCTGCTGGCTCTGGGTCCTGCCTGTCATTGACTCACTGCTGTCAAGTTTGGGTGACTTGGAGTCTGGTTGGCCCCTGAAAGGCAGGGCGGTGACGTGTGGTCCACATGGGTGTTGGCAGTGTCCCCTCTGAGATGTCCATATAGCCTTATGGGGTGAGATTTTGTTGAGAAGACCTGCTCAAGGAAGTCAAATGAAACGTGCTGGTTCACAGTGATGGTGGTGATGGGTAATCCTGGCTGTCCCGAGAGCCAGTTAAGCTTTCCTCTGAGTTCTATGTCCTGTATATACACAACCAGTGCAACCCACTCTGTTTGCGTCAACACCAAAATTTATTTACTTGGATTGATTTTCCTTTTCAATCTATGGTGGATTTCAAAATGTAATTTCTATTGAAGCTAATTATTTCTTCTTTAATTTGAGATGGAAATCCAGAATGGACATATTTGATATGTAACCGCTTCGGAATGTATATGTCTTCTAATAGACACACCCCAACTTTGGATCTACCTGTTATTCAGGCCCTATAATAGTTGTCAGTCAGATCCCCTCAGCCCTGGCTATGGCCACAGTGGTTTTCCTGAGAAGCTTGTGACTGGCTGGGTACATGTGGAAAAGGATGAGAACCTGTGGTCTGATCACTGCAGCAGGGCGGTTAAGGGCCTGGGGTGTGGGTCAGAAGTTTCCTGACTCCCCTGCTCTGCCTCCCTCTTGGGGGCTTTCTTAAGCTCGAATTAGTGATAGAAGTGAAAGTGACAAAAATGATGGACTCTAACAGGTTTTGTGGTGAGAAATAAATTATATGTGTGTGTGACCTGCTCTGTGTTATACCATAAAGAGAAAGTGCTCAATAAGCATTTTTTTATTTTTTATTTTTCTGGCGTTACTGGGGTGTGAACTCAGGGCTGTGTGCTTGCGAGGCAGGCACTCTACCACTTGAGCCTCTCTGCCAGTCATCAATACATGTTTAGATGTCATCCAAAAGGAACATTTTTGCCAGGTGTGGTGGTTCAGGCCTGTTCCCCCACACCAAAAAAAAAAAAGAAAAGAAAAATCTTCTGTGTGACCAGTTCTATTTTTTTTTTTGGCAGTACTGGAGTTTGAACTCAGGGTTTCACACTTGCTAGG